ACCACCCCCGCCGCCCCCAGCCCACCCCGCTGTGACAGTGCCCCCGCCACCGCTGCCAGCACCACCGCCCGGTGTCCCACCCCCGCCCATTCTGCCGCCGCTGCCGCCCTTCCCGCCGGGGCTGTTTCCCGTGATGCAGGTGGACATGAGCCATGTGCTGGGTGGCCAGTGGGGCGGCATGCCCATGTCCTTCCAGATGCAGACGCAAATGCTGAGCCGTCTGATGACGGGCCAGGGCGCTTGCCCCTACCCGCCCTTCATGGCCGCCGCAGCCGCAGCCGCCTCCGCTGGGCTGCAGTTCGTCAACCTGCCGCCCTACCGGGGCCCCTTCTCCCTTAGCAACACTGGCCCCGGCCGCGGGCAGCCCTGGCCACCCCTGCCCAAGTTTGACCCGTCAGTGCCGCCACCAGGCTACGTGCCACGCCAGGAGGACCCGCATAAGGCCACGGTGGACGGCGTCCTGCTGGTGGTGCTCAAAGAGCTCAAGGCCATCATGAAGCGGGACCTGAACCGCAAGATGGTGGAGGTGGTGGCCTTCCGGGCCTTCGACGAGTGGTGGGACAAGAAGGAGCGGATGGCCAAGGTGGGTGGGCAGCACGGCCCTGCAGGGGGGCGGGCGGCAGGGACCCGGCCAGGCAGCTTCTCTCCTCCCCAGGCACGGTACTGGAAACACCGCCACCCAGACCCCCAAAGCAGGGTAGTGTGAGTGTTATTTTGTGAAACCGGTGTGTCGATGACACAGGTGTGTACTTACAATGCGTTCCTTTTGGATTCCAATCTCCAAAGCGCGAGAGCCCCTGCTCCGGTGCGGGCAGCCGTAGTAGCTGCTTTGCAGGTGAGGAAGCTGAGGGTCAGGGAGGCAGAGTGGGGCCCTGGGGGCGTCCTGAGTAGTCGGCACAAAATGAGGTAGGTTCCAGGAAAGGAAGTGCCCAGTTACCACGTGGCTGTCACTGTTGAGAGGTCGGCAGGTTGCTCAGGGCTGGTGGCAGCGCTGTAACCATGGTGACTTCCCCCTCCTCTCTTGCACCCCAGGCCTCGCTGACCCCGGTGAAGTCCGGCGAGCACAAGGACGAGGACAGGCCGAAGCCCAAGGACCGCATCGCCTCCTGCCTGCTGGAGTCGTGGGGCAAGGGCGAGGGCCTGGGCTACGAGGGCCTGGGCCTAAGCATTGGGCTGCGCGGGGCCATCCGCCTGCCCTCCTTCAAGGTCAAGAGGAAAGAGCCGCCGGACACCGCCTCATCTGGCGACCAGAAGCGGTTGCGACCCTCAGCCTCCGTGGATGAGGAGGATGAAGGTTTGCGCCCCTCCGCTCGCCGGGTGCTGGGGTCTCCTCCTCCCCCGCGCCCCTGGCCCAGGTCTGACAGCCCTCCTTCCCCACAGAGTCTGAGCGGGAGCGGGACCGCGACATGGCGGATGCCCCCTGTGAGCTCGCCAAGCGGGACCCCAAGGGCGTGGGTGTGCGGCGGCGGCCAGCCCGGCCCCTGGAGCTGGACAGTGGCGGGGAGGAGGACGAGAAGGAGTCGCTGTCGGTGTCCTCATCGTCGTCGGCGTCCTCGTCCTCGGGGTCCTCGACAACCTCGCCCTCATCCTCAGCCTCCGACAAGGAGGAGCGAGAAAGCGCGGAGGAGGAGGGGGAGGGGGAGGAGGAGGAGGGGGAGGAGCAGGGAGGCCCCAGGAGCCAGGGCTCCTCCTCCTCGACCTCATCCCTGTCCGATAAGGTACCGTTCGGGCTGGGGAGGCCTGGGGTGCTGGGCCAGGGGAGGGGGCCCTTCGGCTCACCTTTCCTCCGTCCCTCCCCCGCAGGATGACGATGATGAAGACAGTGACGACAGGGACGAGTCTGAGAATGACGACGAGGACGCAGCCCCGTCGGAGATGAGTGAGAAGGAAGAAGGGGACTCAGATGGAGGTAAGCGGGGCTCCCGGCCCAGCCCGGGGTCCCTCTGCAGAGCGCAGAGCCCGTGCAATAGTCAGCTATACTCTGGGGGCAGATCTCTTGACTTTGAGGTGTGAACTCAGTAAAGCACAAACAGGGCATGCCCTGTGATTCCTTTCTCGTGAAGTGTCCAGAAGGGGTCAATCCATAAAGACAGAAAGCAGACTAGTGGTCGCTGGGGTTAGGGGACGGTGGATAGACAGGTGATCGCTAAAGGGAGCGGGCTTCTTCTAGACAAGGGCTAGCTGTCCACATTGTGAATGTACTGAATACCACTGTATCGTTTACTTTAAGATGGTTAGTTTTATGTCATGTGGATTTCACCTCAGTTTAAAAAAACGTGACGACTAGTTAGTACTGACACACGCACGCGCGCGTGCGCGCGCGCGCGCACACACACACACACACACACACACACACAACCTGAGGGCGATGTTCAGCCCAGCGCCGCCAGTTGTGAGACCTTTGGTGAAGGACCTGGCTGGAGCACAGCAGATAATGACAGCGCCCCTGCCTGTGTCCCCCGCCCAGAGGAGACAGTGAGCATCGCCACCTCCAAGGCCGGAGCTGAGTCCTCCAGTGAGAGCTCTGAGTCTTCTGACTTCGAATCAAGCTCCGGGTCCTCCTCGTCACCCTCCGAGGATGAAGAAGAACTGGCAGCCGGGGAGGGAGAGGAGGCGGGAGGGGAGGAGGCGGCCGCAGAGGAAAGCGTGGCTCCCGCTGCCCCTGACGAGGGCTTTGAGGACGTGGCCACAGGAGCATCCGCGACCGAGTCACTGGTGCCAGAAGAGGAGGTGGACATCGAGGCTGAGGATGAAGCCTCCGAGGCGCGGACCCCAATGCTGGAAGAGCCCCCCTTGCCTGTGGGTGTCGAGGAGCTGGCTGGCTGCAAGGAGCCCCCTGACGAGCCAGGCCTGAACCAGGAAGGGGCCAGGTTGCTGTCTCCAGAGCCCCCTGCTGGAGAGATGGAGGCCCGGCCCCTGCCATCCCCGGAGCCCACCCCAGGTAACACTTGCAGCCCATGGGAGGGCGGTGGGCATGGAAGCAGGATGTCCTCACCATGAGAATGAGCCCAGGCTCCTTTATACTAATCACTTCACCTTAATGAGTCAGTTTCCTCATCTGTAAAATGGGATCCGTGGATTGTGCTTCCTCTACGAGGTCGTATGGGAGGACAGAGTGAGATGACTTATGATGTGCCAGCATGGAGCCTGGCACCTGTTAGATCCCAGAGGGGTCTGCTGCTGTCACCATTCCTCTGTCAGTATTTCCCTGGGGTTTAGTCCTTGGACCATTAATTAGTCCCATGAGATGCTCCCAGAAGAGGGGGTGTGGGTGCAGGTGCGTATGGTCATTTCAGTGACAGAAAGCAACAGAGAAGGCCTCGGGGTGCTGGGCCAGTTGAGAAGGGGCCATGGACGCTGCCCCCTCCACCATCTTGGTGGAGCTGCACAAAGCATGTTAAAGGCTCTAACAATGCTGTCCCATAGAACTTTCTGCAGTGGTAGAAACATTCTCTCTCTGTCCTGTCCAATACTGTAGCCACTAGACACAGTGTTGCTAAGAGCACTTGAAAGGTGGAGAGTGCCACTGTGGAACAGAATTTGTGATGTTGTGTCATTTTCATTAGTATAAACTTACATAGCCACATGTGGTTAGTTTGTACCTGTAATGGTCCTTGAGGAAAGAAACCCATTGTATTTTGTTTAATTCTGTGTTATTTGGCTATAGAACCACAGGTCTTTAAATATTGTTAAACGTATTAATTGAGCCTCTATTGTCGTCCCCAGTACTGTTTTACGAACTGATAATACAACAGTGGACCAAACAGACAAAAATACCTGGGGCTTACACTCTGGGGCAGGTTGATGGATGACAGCGGATAAGTTAGAAAATGTATTCTGTGACAGGAGAGATAAATGCTAAGAGAAAACCTTAAAGGCTCTGACAAGTCCTGCAGCAAAGAGACTTGTTGGATTTTTGATAGAGCTCATTTTCTTGGTCCATGGGATGTTCCCGGTTCACAGGAACACCATTCTAAAGACAGTGTCAAGGGTTACAACCATGTCTCCTGCATCTTTGATTTACTCCCACCAACAGTTAACAGACACCTACTGTGTGCCTGACACTGGGCCGGGTGCTGAGCAGTCCTTGAGCAGCTTAGCTGGAGGAGGACAGTCTGTATACTCACAGAACCCCTAGGGACCCAGAGGGTATGAGTGCATACCCAGAGACGTGTCAAGTGCATAGTAGGGCAGCATAAGTAGGGCGCTGAGGGACATCTGCGTCAAATAATAAAGGTCTGGTTTTTGCCCACCTCTCTGCAGAGAACAACCTGGAAGCGGAGCCTGCGCCCCCTGCGCTGCTCTCCTTATCCCTGCAGCCACCGTTGCCGCCCGCTCGACCACCCCGGCCACCCAGCCCACCACCAGAGCCCGAGACCCCAGACCTCCCGCTCCCAACAGTCCCTCTGGAGCCTCCCCGTGAGGACCGGCCCCCGCGTACTCCAGGCCTCTGTGGCAGCTTGGCCAAGTCGCAGAGCGCAGAGGCCGTGCCGGCCACACCGAGCGGGGAGCCCCTGCCGTCAGGGGGCAGCAGCGGTCTGCCCCTGGGCTCCCCGCAGCTGCCAGGCAGCCCCTTCTCCTACCCATCCCCATCCCCCGGCTTGAGCAGCGGGGGCCTCCCGAGGACACCTGGCCGGGACTTCAGCTTCACACCCACCTTCCCTGAGCCTGGTGGGCCCCTGCTCCTGCCTGTCTGTCCCCTCCCAGCTGGCCGGCGTGATGACCGGTCTGGCCCCCTGGCCTCCCCTGTGCTCCTGGAGACAGGCCTGCCGCTCCCTCTGCCCTTGCCCTTGCCCCTGCCCTTGGCATTGCCCGTACCCGTTCTGCGGGCCCAGACTCGGGCCCCCACCCAGCTGCCACCCCTGCTGCCTGCTCCGCTGGCCCCCTGCCCACCCCCCATCAAGAGGAAGCCGGGCCGGCCCCGGCGATCCCCGCCGGCTGTGCTCTCCTTGGATGGGCCCTTGGTCCGGCCGCCAGGAGGGCCCCCCCTGGGCAGGGACCTCCTGCTTCTGCCAGGCCAGCCACAGACCCCTGTCTTCCCCAGCACCCACGACCCCCGGACCGTGACCCTGGACTTCCGGAACGCGGGGATACCGGCTCCCCCCCCACCCTTGCCCCCACAGCCTCCTCCGCCCCCACCTCCGCCACCTGTTGAGCCCACCAAGCTGCCCTTTAAGGAGCTAGAGAACCAGTGGCCCTCCGAGGCCATCCCTCCGGGTCCCCGTGGGCGCGACGAGGTCACCGAGGAGTTCATGGACCTGGCCAAGGTGCGGGGGCCCTGGCGCCGGCCACCGAAGAAGCGCCACGAGGACCTAGTGGCCTCAGCCTCCCCCGAGCTCTCGCCGCCGCAGCCCCTCTTCCGGCCCCGCTCGGAATTTGAGGAGATGACCATCCTGTATGACATCTGGAATGGTGGCATCGACGAGGAGGACATCCGCTTCCTGTGTGTCACCTACGAGCGTCTGCTGCAGCAGGACAACGGCATGGACTGGCTCAATGACACGCTCTGGGTCTACCATCCCTATATCCTGCCAGGCAGGGTGGGGGGGCTGCACCTCCCAGGATAGCACACGTCACTGTCACTTATGGAGCAGTGTCTATGCCGGAACCGTGCCAGGCTCTCTACAGAGTCATCACTGGCACTTTTAAACACTGCCCTCTGTGCCAGAATTGGCAGGTCTCGGGGCTAAATGTAACAGTGTGATTGCACAACATGACAGAAGCAGGGACTGACAGAAGGTTCACTCTCCCTGGCTCCCCCTCATCGCCTAATTTAATCTTCCCAACAGCTTAGTGAGGTAGGGGCTGCTATTATTCCCATTTTACATCCGAAGAAGCCGAGGCTCAGGTTAAGTTACCTGCCCAAAGTCACACAGCTATGAAGTAGCAGAGTAGAGATTTGAACCCAGGCAAATCTGGCTCCAGAATCTGCGTTCTTAGCCACGATGCCACGCCACAGTCGGTTATTACCACAACCATATGAAGTTGGCGCTGCTTTTATCCCTGTTGTACCAAACGAGTTTATTGAGCATTTACTCTGTGTCAGGAGCTCTGCTAAGCAGCCTAAGCATCTGTAGTCATTCCACGGGGCATCGTAATTACCCCAATTTGCGTATGGGGAAACTGAGGCGGAAGGTGGTTTTTAAAAAAAACAAAACACCCAAGGCCATGCAGCTGGGTACCTGTCAGAGTTCTGACCACAGTGGAGTTGGCCAGTGGGCAGGTGCAGGGAAGTGGTGTAGGTGTGGGCCGTGGAGCTGGGCGTCCTTGGCCTCCTGCAGATGGGTCTGAGGGTGGAGAGGCCAGGCCCAGGAGGGCGGGTCTCCAAGCAGGACTGGGAGGGGCTCTCCGAGAATGTCCATGTGGCCCTTGACCCACACCCACCCACCAGCCTCTCTTCAGCTAAGAAGAAGAAACGGGACGATGGCATCCGGGAGCACGTGACAGGCTGTGCCCGCAGCGAGGGCTTCTACACCATCGACAAGAAGGACAAGCTCAGATACCTCAACAGCAGCCGCGCCAGCACCGATGAGCCCCCCACGGACACCCAGGTACGGCCATCAGGTGCCCGGACACCCCGGAGCCTCCCAGGCTGGGCAGAGGGTGGGGGCCCTCCTGGAGGGGAGCGGTTGTGGAGCCAGAGGGGCTGGTGCATGGAGCACGGAGGGTGCTACTCCTCTGGGTGCTCAAGTGTCAGAGATGAGGTGGGAGGTGGGCAGGGGAGAGCCTCTGAAGGGTTTTAATCAGGGATACGAACAGAGTTGAGTTGCATTTCCAGAATTTTCTTTCATTCTTCTTTAAGGAAATAAATTGGGTAGGTTGGACATGGGGGGGCCGTGTGGGAAAAAGTAGATGCATTTGAAAGACTCTCAGGAATATTCGAACATTCGAAGGTCAGACGGATGGGACTGGGGGCCTGACTGGTTACAGGAGGCAGAATGGGGTGGGACGCTGCTGGGTCCGGCCTTGGGGACTGCGTAGCTGGATGCCAAGTACTGAGGTGAGAAGGAAGATGGGACCCCCACTTTGGGATGGTTTGAGTTTTGGGGTTTGTGGAACATCCAGGTCGTGAGGTCTGGCGGACACTTAGATATGTGGGTACAGGAGAGAGCTTGGGAGAGGGACGTCTGGTCCGGGGACCTAAGTTTAGGCATCATGAGAATGGAAATGTTAGCCAAAGGCCACAGCAGGGGTGAGCCGACCCGGGAGAACATCTGGAAGGGAGTGAAGCTCCAGGTGTCAATGGTGGGGACAGAGGAAGAGGGAGGCCAAGAGAGGGAAGGGATGCGAGGCTGCTGGGAAGAACCGTGATTTTGAACGAAGCCACGGGGTGTTAGGTAGACAGACACCCACCATCTCTGTCCAAAAAGCGGAGATGCTTTCAAATCTAGCTGAGAAGGGAAACGACGGCAAGAGTGAAGAGAACGCTGCGTCGTCTTGTTTAAGATTAGAGGAACTTGATCACGTTCGGATTCTGATGGGAAGGACCCCGTAGAGGAGAGGTGGCTATTAGGACGCTCGGAGCAAGCAAGCTGGGAAGCTAGGGCCACAGAGCTTACGCTGGGGCTGCCAAGGATGAGACGGGGTTGCAGGTTCCCTGTGGCCAGCTCCCCCAGGCGGCCACACCCCTCTCTGATCTGTCACCCGCCGTCTCCATCCTTGTACCCATCCTCACAGGGCATGAGCATCCCAGCGCAGCCTCACGCCTCCACACGGGCTGGCTCCGAGCGGCGTTCCGAGCAGCGCCGCCTGTTGTCCTCCTTCACTGGCAGCTGTGACAGTGACCTGCTCAAGTTCAACCAGCTCAAGGTGAGGCTGGGCCCCACCTGGGGCGGCCGGGGCGGCCACAGCATCCGGGACCAGGGCTCTCACCCCCATCCCCTTCCCTCCCCCAGTTCCGGAAGAAAAAGCTCAAATTCTGCAAGAGTCACATTCACGACTGGGGCCTGTTCGCCATGGAGCCCATTGCGGCCGATGAGATGGTCATCGAGTACGTGGGCCAGAACATCCGCCAGGTAAGCGCTGCCGGCCAGGACAGGTGTCGGGGTGGGGCTGCGGCCAGCCCCGCCCAGACTGAGGCTTCTTCCTGGCCAGGTGATTGCGGACATGCGGGAGAAACGTTACGAGGACGAGGGCATCGGTAGCAGCTACATGTTCCGGGTGGACCACGACACCATCATCGACGCCACCAAGTGCGGCAACTTCGCGCGTTTCATCAACCACAGCTGCAACGTGAGTGCCCGGCTCGGGGCCGCCGCCCCTGCTGCTGTGCCAGGAGGACCCGCAACCGGAGGGCACAGGAACCGGCGCGGCCTCCTTTCCAAGCTCGGGGCCCACGAGGATAGTGGGGAGGGAGGTGGAGGTGTGAGGCCTTATCCGAGGAGCCGTTCTCCTCTGAGCTTCAGTTTTCTCATCTGTAAAATGCGCATAATGAGACCAGAGGTGCTCATGACGTGGTCCACACAGCTGGTAATTACAGAGTTCCTTCCCCGTGCTGGGCGTTTTCTATGCCTCTGGGGCAGTGCTGGCCAGTAGAACTTTCTACAGTGACGGAAGTGCTCTGCATCTTTGCTGTCCACTGATATACACGTGTGGTGTTGAGCGCTTGAAACGTGGCTAGTGTGGCTAAAAAACTGAGTGCTTTTTTTGCGGTACGCGGGCCTCTCACTTCTGTGGCCTCTCCCGTTGCGGAGCACAGGCTCTGGACGCGCAGGCTCAGTGGCCACGGCTCATGGGCCCAGCCGCTCCCCGGCATGTGTGATCCTCCCGGACCGGGGCACGAACCCGTGTCCCCTGCATCGGCAGGCGGACTCTCAGCCACTGTGCCACCAGGGAAGCCCCCAAAACTGAGTGTTTAATTTAAATTAACTTAAAGAGTCACACTCGGCTACTGACGGGTGACGTGGCTCAGGTCTAGGTGTGGAGGTGGGCGTTGATAACAAGGGTGGTCCTCTCGTGAATATAAGCACAGGGAGCTTCAAATGGAGGACAGGCACCCCTGGCTGTAGGTTCAGGTCTTGGCATCGCTACTTAGTGAGCGACTGTAGGCAGGTTACTTCATGTCTTGGTGCTTCAGTTTCCTAATCTGTAAAACTGGGATGATAACAATCCCTCCTCGTACGGTGTTGGGAGGACCAAGCGGGTTACCGAGGGCAGGCCTTCTGTGCAGATACAGCGGGCGCTCAGTACGTGCCAGCTCGCACAACTGTGACTTGATCATACCCTGGGGCCCGTAGGGACTTCGCTGTGCGTCTCCTGTGAGAGCTGAGGGGTAAGAGGGAATTACCCGGGTGTGGTAATGAGTGAGTGAGGTGAGGCCTGGGGCAGGGAGGGAGAACACCTGTTTGAGGGGCAGTGGGATGAGGTAGGGGGCAGAGGGCAGGGTGAGAGGATGAGGTTGGCGGGGTTGGTGGTGGCTGGGTCACTCAGCCTTGTAAGTAGAGCTGAGAACTTTCTCTAAAAGCCGAGGCCGGCTATTGCCCTGGGGTGACAGGATTTGCTGTCCCTTTGGAAACATTTCCCTGGCAGCTGGGTCAGGAGTTATTCCGAGTTCAGAGAGGCAGCGGGAGCCGCTGCAGTCCAGGCAAGTGATGACAGAATCAAGAGGCCCTTTGAGGCAGAAGCCGCTGGGCGTGGTGGGCTGGATCCAGCACTGCTGGAGAGGAGGCGGGGGGCAGATGCTTGGGGGACTGGGTGCGTGGAATGGCTACTCCCTAGGTTTGAGTTTACTGACTCAAAGTTGTCTCCTTGAGCTGCCAAAAGGTGGATATGGAGCAGCTAGTTGGATCTGGGGGCCTGGAGTGCAGGCAGGCAAACCTTTTCTGTAAAGGACCAGGTAGTAAGTACTTTTGGCCGTGTGGCCCAGACCATCTCATAGCAACTACTTAACTGCCATTGTAACAAAGGTAGCCATAGGCAATATGTAATGAATGAGCGTGTGCCAATAAAACTTTATTTTCAAGAACAGGCAGCTGGGGGCCGGAGTTTGCTGACCCCTTCTCTAGAACTCAGAAGTAGGGCCTGGGCTAGAAACATAAATATGAGGATCACCTGCGGTATAAAAGTAAATTGAATGTTTCCCTGCGAAATTTGTTATTATTACAATCATGATTCTTATTTAATATCAGAGACGGGGGCCCTGGTCCGCCGGATGGGGGAGCCGAGGCCTAGGGCAGGTGGCCAGTGGGCAGTGGGGTCATGGGCCCAGTCCATCAGGCCTTGAGCACGGGGCTCAGTTGGGTTTGGGGGACTGCGGTCAGGGAGGGCCTGGGTAGGGTCCCAGGTGGGTCGGCTCACCCTCCCCCCCACATCCCACCCACAGCCCAACTGCTACGCCAAGGTCATCACCGTGGAGTCGCAGAAGAAGATCGTCATTTACTCGAAGCAGCACATCAGTGTCAACGAGGAGATCACCTACGACTACAAGTTCCCCATCGAGGACGTCAAGATCCCCTGCCTCTGCGGCTCCGAGAACTGCCGGGGGACCCTCAACTAGGCCCGGTGCCTGGGGATGTCAGCCGCCCCCAGCGCCCGAGCGTGGACCCCTGGCCCCGGGGCCAGACCCCACCTCCCACCCCCATTTCAGGTGCTGTCCCTCTACCCAGCAACCGTGCCAGGGCCTGGCGCCCCCAACACTACCCCCAGGACCCACCGCAGCTCCGGCCCCTCAGTGGGAAAGGGCTTCTCTGTCTCTCAGCCCATGTCTCTTTCGTTTTTTTAAAGAAATGCTCCTTTCGGGACTTTGGTTTCCGGTGTAAATGTCTCCCCCCACCCCCCTACCTCCCCGGCGTCTCCCCTTCCTCCACCTCTTTCTCTCTGTCTTCTCTGTCCAGCCTTCCCTTCCCGGTCAGCCTCTTCCCATGAATGCTGCTACGTTGTTTTCGTCTTCTCATTCTTTTCTTCCTCTTCATGAGAAAAGACGCTTTAACCATTGAAATGTGAAGGCAGAATCAGAGAGCGGGGACCCCAGGCAGGGGCTGCGTGGTTTGATGGTGTGTCGGTCCACGTTCTGGAACCCTCCGGGCCTGGGCGCCGGGCCAGGTGCTGCAGAGGTGGGGGTCGGGCCAGGCGGCTTTGACCTCAGAACACTACGGAAGGCCCCCTCTCTGCCGGCGGACTCAGTGAGAAGAC